GCAGCTGAAGTCCAGCAGCCTTGAATGAGCTACGCCAGTGCCTCTTTGTGCTGTTTTCCCAGTGAGCTTCCCTGGTCTCTTGGCTCGGAGATGATGCGTGATCATTGCATGCAATGGGCTCAGTGACTGGAAATCCTAGGTTCTGGTTAATGAAGAGGCTAATGCTGCCATGTGTGGACTAAACACTGCAGTCAGCCAGAGTGGCACCCACAAACCTATGCCTATCCGCTGTGTTGAATTGTGTTCTGGGTTTGTGTGAGACTGTAACCTCGAGCTGTTTTAAACTTTGCCCCGTGGACAGCTATGTTAGCCTTTCTGAATGAGGATCTTAATTAGGGATGTTAAATTTAGATTGATCGGCTAATCGATAGTCAAGGCAACTTGTAGCGATTAGTCAGTAAGGGCGCCTCCGTCTTTGAAGTGTAGCAACAGCCCCGGGGCTCTTGCTACACTTCAGACACAAGCGCCGTGGGGAGCATAGAGCCAGCAAGGGATTCAGCAGGCCCCCGCTGGCCCCGTGCTTCCCGCAGCGTTTCAAAGTAGGAGCACCACATGGAGCCCAGGATCAGCTGGGGAGTCTGAAATGCCGTGTGCAGCCCAAAGCAGCAGACCCCGGGCTCCATGTGGCGCTGCCACTTTGAAGCACCCCATCCTCTTCCCCCGCTTTGGCTGCCTTTTTCTGACAGAGGCAGCAAGTGAGGGAGGGAAGCGACTAGCCAACTATCTGATAAGCAATTGCTTATCGGATAGTCGACTAGTCCTTCACATTTCTAATCTTAATACCATTGATGTGATTTCTTTTGTTCCAAATATTGTTTTAAAATGTCGTCTTATTGTCCTTAGCCCTGCCTCACATTGATTTTTTTCCCCTTCAGCTTTTTTCATTTCAAAATTTCTAATTTATATTGATTGCCGCCTGTATTCCTTTTTTCCCACTTGTTCTGTGTTGCTTTTTGTATGTTTAATTGCTGTCTTCGCTTCACCAGTGAACCAAATGGGCTTTTAGCCAAAGCCGTGCTCTTTCTTGAATGTTGAATTCTGTTTTTGGCCCTCTAATAAATTCTCCTCAAAGAACTCCTAATTTTCCGTTCACATTTTTGCCGTCTAAAATTTTCCTCCTGAGCCAAATTTGCTCACAGTTTCCCTCCATGCCAGGGAAATTAGCCCATCTGAAGCACAGACTGTGCATACGTGGATGTGTTATTTTTCGTATAGGTTGTTGGGTCTAATGTGCTGGGGGTTTTATCGTTGCTCTAGAATTTGCTGTCCTTGTGGAAGTCCGCCTTGCCACCCGGTGCAGCCTCTACCCAGTCCTGTTTGATGATGAGCAGCACCTCAGCAAGTACGAGTTTGTGGTCACCAGTGGGAGCCCTGTGGCAGCCGACCGAGGTGGGTGCTTTGGGAACACGGAGCTCTGTCAGGAGAGGCCTATGCCACTGTGGCCAGAGTAGGAACGCTGTCTGTAGCTCTTAGCGTTCTACACAGCGGCATTTGGTTGTGTGGGCTTGTTCCTGTGTTCTGGCTGCTAAGAAAATGGCCACAGCAGAACACAAAGACCATGTTGGAGAAGTTGGTGTTCTCTAGATAAGCAGGCTGTTGACCATACAGCATTGGCCACATGAACTCAACAAACTGTCTGTGTGATATTCTTCAGAGATGAGGAAGAATCTTCTGTAACTCACTTGGCCTACAGTAATGTAGCTAGAGAGACACTTTCCGTGTCCAGACCTAGGGTGAGTGCTCCGCACTCAGGAGCAGGTCATTCCCCTTCTCTCCTGCTCGTCAGCTAGCAGATCATAAAATTAACTTGCGCCAGTGTCTGACACTGATTTCCTGGGGCTGTGAATTACAAGCACTAAATTCAGTTTAACCTGGTTTTTAAAAATGTGCCTGATACTCCCATACGGAGAGCGTAGCTTTGCCTGCAAGCTGCTCTTTCCAAGTGGCCCCAGTCGTTGGGACTGGACATGATCCCAAGACACCTCTGTAGGCAATGCAGTCGTCATGGTCAGAGCAGACCTTTCTTGTGTAGCTTAAGGAGAGATTTGGGTTGATACCAAGCTGGGAGGGGTTGCAACTGCTTTGGAGGATAGGGTCATAGTTCAAAATGATCTGGACAAACTGGAGAAATGGTCTGAGATAAATAGGATGAAGTTTAATAAGGACAAATGCAAAGTGCTCCACTTAGGAAGGAACAATCCATTTCACACATACAGAATGGGAAGTGACTGTCTAGGAAGGAGTATGGCGGAAAGGGACCTAGGTGTATGCAGATTCAAGATCATAATTGGGTTTACATTTGGCAAGGTTTTTTTTCTTTGCAGCCACCAACGCCACAATTAAAGAAAATGAGCTAAAATTCTGTATTAATTGATGGCTCTGTCCCCCACAGATCCCGGAGAGAGCTTCCCACTCATCACTGGCAAATGTACTTTTCAAGCCCCAGTTAAAATTCAAGTACAAATCATAAGCACTCCCCAGATACACCTACAAGAATCCTAAACAGACATGCACGAAGGAATCACTGAAAGAAACTTCAAGTGTAATGACAAAGAAAAGTAATTCAAACCAAGTACTTAAAAGGGTGTTACTAGGTAGAGGGAGGAAAAATTCTCCTTGGCCTCTGAGGATAGGACAAGAAGCAATGAGCTTAAACTGCAGCAAGGGAGTTGGGTTGGACATTGGGAAAGACTTCCTACGTGTCAGGGTGGTTAAACACTTGGAGTAAATTGCCTAGGGAGGTTGTGGAATCTCCATCACTGGAGATATTTAAGAGCAGGTTGGACAGACACCTGTCAGGAGGATGCAGACGGTGCTTGGTCCTGCCGTGAGGGCAGGGGACTGGACTCGATGGCCTCTCACGGTCCCTTCCAGTTCTAGTGTTCTGATTCTCATCTGTAGTTCCAGTGTTGTTCTTGTGACCCTTTCCCTGTGCTTGCAGTTGGCCCCACAATCTTGAACAAGATCGAAGCTGCCTTGACAAACCAGAACCTTTCTGTGGACGTTGTGGATCAGTGCCTTGTCTGCCTGAAGGAGGAGTGGATGAAGTAAGAGGCGATGCTTTGCTTTCTGTGAAACCCTGTTAGTTATTCTTAGTGTCATAATCCCATGCAGGTTTTCCAAGGGGTTTTCCTGGGAAAACCAGCTTGTATAGTCTAGGGATGTTTAAAACCATGTAATAGGGTAACCGTGTAACAGCTAAACAAGCGTAGCGGTTAGATGCTTTATACTGCAGAGCCCACAACAAAACCTGCCAGTCTGCCCTGCACCTGGGGAGGTGGCTTCACTGCTGCAGCAAAGCCACCTCCACAGGAGCTGGCTAAGGCTAACTAATACCATTAAGCTGATGTTTACCAGGCAGCTCTCACTATGTTTAAAAAGCAGAGCCGCAGCGGCCTGGGACCTGGTGCGAGTGCTCAATCCTAGTGGCTCTTACTGCGTTTAAAAAGCAGAGTCTCAGCGGTCCCAGAGCCTCCCCCAGGAGCTCAACCCCTGCTCAACTAATCGAGGAGTCAATGGAATTTCCATCGACTCCTCGATTAGCTTATTAACCGCTACTTAACATCCCTAGTACAAAAAAGAAACATGCAATGTTGCCTCTGCCTATATCTCAAACCTACTGTGTCCTATTGCATCGCTAATGACAGGACATTTTTGTCTCTGCAGTAAAGTGAAGGTCCTCTTTAAATTCACCAAAGTGGACAGTCGACCCAAGGAGGACACTCAGAAACTGCTGAGCATCCTAGGAGCGGCTGAGGAAGACAACGTCAAGCTCCTCAAGTTCTGGATGACAGGCCTGAGCAAGACCTACAAGTCCCACCTCATGTCGACGGTCCGCAGCCCGACCTCTTCCGAGTCTCGGAATTAACCGGAAATGCCCAGCGTCACTCGCTGCCCTCCGATACGAGCAAGGAACCGAGCGAGTTTTTCTCTGAACTTGCACATCTCGTGACTAGTGAAACACCACTGAACCTCTGAGGGGTGTAGTTTTAGTCTTTGAATTTGCTGTGAGACTGCACTCTAAGAGTGTGTGGAATTCAGGCTCAGGCTCTGACCTCCAGCTCCACTCTGAACCTAGACTGCAAGCTGAAGTCTTATTCAGTGTAATTGAAGGAACCAGAGTAAGCCTGTCAGTGCCCTCATGCCAGCCTTAGCGCTAACTGCGCGGCAGTAGAACTCCTGCAACTCTGCACTGTAACTTGGATGTTGCCATCAGTAGAGGTCTTGATACGTGGGACTCTAGATACAAATAAACAGTTTGTAGGTAATTGCTCTCATTTCTGCCAGTTAGAGGAGCAGAGAAGCAACCACAAATATTAGGCCATGTGACTGGGGTTCCTACATATCTTAACCCTAGCGATGGCTCACCGCTGTCACTGCTTTGTAAAACCACTTCATGCTCAGTAGATTTGACTGGATCTGGAGAAAAACAGAGAATTGCAGAAGTGCTCTTGTTTGAATTGCCATTCCGACTTCTTCATATCCTAACTTTAAAATCTTCTGCAGTTCAAAATTGTAAGCAACACTGGAATCCTCTCAAAACGCACACGAAATGGCGATGTGACGCAAAGTTGCTTTTTTAAAAAAAACAAAAACGTAAGGATGGCAAACTTGAAACACAGAGGATACTTTATCCTGGACGTGGTGTCCTTAACCTATTTCCTACACGCAGAAGTTCTCCACTGCTCCCTCTAGCCTAATGTTCCAGCTAGTGTGTGGTTAAGCAGGAAACAGCCAGTTCACAGAATCTCCCGCACTGAGAGACCCTGAAGGAGCCAGTTTGAATGCCTAATCATCTGCCAATACTATGGCTAGGTGCGCATGCACCAGAAGAGCAGTACCATCTCTGCATCTCTCAGCTACTGCTTTTGCCTTTGGCTCTTAATTAACATCTTACTCTAAAGGAATTACTGTATTTCCAATATGGGATCATTTTAGCCTAGGTCAGTGGTTCTCAAGGTGCGGTCGCAGACCACTAGTGGTCTTTGGCTGCCTCCCAGGCCACCCGTGGCTCGAGTGCAGCCCTCACTGCGGCTCACGCCTCGCGGTCACCGCACAGCTGCAGCCTGGAGCACCAGCTCCGGCTTCCTGCTGGGAGGGCGTGTGATAGAGGCGGTGTAGGTGCAGCTTAAGGGCTTGAGTGGCCTGGCAAGCAGAGCGGGCATCATGACCCTGTGTTGAGCTCCACATCCCTGGAGCTACCCCTGCCCGGCCTGGGCGTGCAGCTCCAGGGAGCCTAGGGGTTTAACACTGCCTCTCCCCCATTGCCGGCTCTGTCTCCTGCTCTGGGAGAGGCAGGGCTAGGTGGCCGATCACACTTTGCTGCCACCTCCGTGGGGGGCCGGGCCCTGGGCTGCACTGCTCCCTGCAGAGTGTGTGTGGGGGCGGGGAGACCCTTTTGGGCTGGAGCCAACCTGGGCTCTGACCGCCCCAGCCCTGGAGCTGCAGCCTGCAGATGTGGGGTGAGCCCCAGGCAAAGGGCTGGGCCGGACAGGGAAGTGACTCTGCCCCCCCGGCCCCTCCTCACCCCAGCACTGCTCTGGGGGCCTGCGAGTCCCAGCACTGCTGGCCTGCTGGAGAGAGTGCAGTGATGCGGGGGCAGGATTGGAGGGGGCAGGGGCTGCTCTGAGGGGGGATGCGGGAGGGATCAGGCTGGGGGGGGTATCGTGTGGCTGAGGGGAGCAAGGCTGGAGCAGAGGGAAGATGTGGGGGGGATACAATTTCTCTTTTCCTTTTACTCCCCACTTCTTTGCCTCCCTTCCCCCATCACAACATGATTCTCTTTGCACCTTATCAGTGTGCGTGAGTGAGAATTTCAGCCCCTGCGACGCGGCAGGGCAGCTGGCAGGTTCGTACATTATTCAGTAATCTGTAGCGGCCCCGGCATTAAACCTGGGACATTTGTTCCTTTCCGGGTCTCCAGCTGAGCAGCTGCTGTTAATGCCAGCGCATACTTCTGCTGCCAGCTCAGACCCGCATTCGCTATTTCCCCCAGAGCTCTGAGCTGTGTCTGTCGGGAGCTCGCTGCTTTTCCACGGATCAGTCTCCTCCAGCCCCTGTTCTGACCCCTCCGTTACTGGCACCGCCTCACTGGGATTGCCAAAAAACAAGCTGGGCCGAGGGAGACCTCTCTCCTCCATGATATTGAATACTTGCTGGCTTCGGATTTTAAAGCTAGCTAGCTGCTTCAACATCTACATATAAAAGTGAATCGATTGTTCTTCTTTTACTCTGTTCCAGAGCCACATCGTCTGTCGGGAGCTCGCTGCTTTTCCACGGATCAGTCTCCTCCAGCCCCTGTTCTGACCCCTCCGTTACTGGCACCGCCTCACTGGGATTGCCAAAAAACAAGCTGGGCCGAGGGAGACCTCTCTCCTCCATGATATTGAATACTTGCTGGCTTCGGATTTTAAAGCTAGCTAGCTGCTTCAACATCTACATATAAAAGTGAATCGATTGTTCTTCTTTTACTCTGTTCCAGAGCCACATCATTGCCATAGGAACCACAAATCTCCATCATAACCCAGAAAGGCACCAGTGTTCATTCCCCTTCCACAGATGGGAGCACAATAATCCCCCAGCCACTAGGGTTTGGAGGTGCAGCTATTTGGCTGCATTCTCCCCCTCTCACCGTTTCTACGTTCCTCTATCCCGCCCCAGGCTCCCTCTCGTACCCCCACCCCACACCCTCTCCTGCTGCCAAACTCCCTGCCAGACCCTGCACCCCAACTCCCTATCCCACTTGCTTCCTGAACACCCCTCCCCCCTCCCACTCATTGGCAGCCCTGTCCCGCACACTGAACCCCTCATTTTTGTCCCCACCCCAGAGCCTACGGGGGTCCACAAAATCCACTAACTCCAGCACCCCAGAAAAGTAACTCTGGCCTATGGGAAGCCCTGAACCTCAGTCCTCCCTGTCCCTTCCCCTTGACCTGTGGAGGCCGGAACGCCAGGGGGCTGAGGTGTCTCAGTTGGGGGCCACATCAGTGAGGGTTGGAGCTGGAGGATCTCACTTGTGTGGACTGCAACTGATTTTTTTTTTCTGTGGGTCAATGGCCCCCAACCCAAGAAGGATCCCCACCTCTGCCCTAAATAAAACACGGGAACCTTTTGTGTTGGACATACATTAATATTTTACTTTATGTAAAATGAAGTTCGATAAACTAGCATGAGAAAGTTAAGATGCTTTATCTGTTTACTTTAAATTCAGCCGTTCTCCCTAGCTGCAGCATTAGCAAAATGGCTCGGGTGTAATTAATGGTGAGTTTCTATTGGTAGCTGGTGATCCGCGGAAAGGTTTGCACTGAGCCAGGTGGTCCACAGGCCAAAACGTTTGAGAATCACTGGCCTAGCTTATTGTTGGAATCTTGATGTGACTACAGAAATTAAAGGAAGTGTGTTTTGTAACCACGTTTACACGATGTGTTCACATTTGAACAAGAACCAGAGCTGATATCCAGACTCGCCCACAGGTTCTGTTTTTATGTATAGTTAGTACCTGGTTAGTTTTGTCAATAGCATCTCTAAAAATGGCAACAAGCATTAAAACTCAGTAAGAGCTATTTTTGTAAAATGGAGAGAGCCTGGTTTGTCTTGATATTTAAGTATCTTAAAACTGGTTTGGATGTAAGAGCAGCAGTTTAACCACAGGAGTGGTCCACAGTTTGGACTTCAGAACCTAATCTGTCTCTTTGTTCCTTAAATTCTGCTTCAAGCCTGATGTGTAAAAGATGATCAACCAAATCACTACGTGGAGAGGTGTCTTTCACTTGGTTTGTCCTGGACCACAGCAAAGTGAGCGTAGATGAGATATGGGGCGCTGCCCCGTAAAATTAAACACTTCTGCTCAGCCACTGGGGGCTCGGCAAGCAGGTGAGCTCACTTCAGCCCTGATGAACTTAAAATAAAGAGCACTGACCAAATCCCGTAAGCTAAGTTCTGGCAGCTCTGGGTGTGCAGCCAGGCCTGCTGGTCTCACTCAAGCTAGAGCTGGAATCAATACATGGCTTGATGGCAGGCTATTACTGCTGCACCTTGGTGTGGAGATCCCTTGTTTCCTTGCCTGCCTCACAGAAAGGTTAGCTCTGGGTGTTTGAAGTCCAACTTCACAAGTTGCTGCTGTGTGTTGCTCCAAGTGTAAAGTGGGACAGCTCACGATTAGTGCAAGCCCTCTTTACACAAGATAGCCCCGGGGCCAGAGAGTCACATGATTCTCCAAAGGCCGTGGGGAAGAGAATGCTTTCGTTCCTCTCTTTGGGTAAGTATGAAACAAAATACAGGACTATGTAGCACTTTAAAGACTAACAAGATGGTTTATTAGGTGATGAGCTTTCGTGGGCCAGACCCACTTCCTCAGATCAAATAGTGAAAGAAAATTGTCACAACCATATATACCAAAGGATACAATTTAAAAAATGAACACATATGAAAAGGACAAATCAAATTTCAGAACAGAAGGGGGATGGGAGAGGGGGAAGGTAAATGTCTGTGAGCTAATGATATTAGAGGTGATAATTGGGGAAGCTATCTTTGTAATGGGTAAGATAACTAGATCCTTTATTCAGACTCAGGTATAAAGTGTCGAATTTTAGCATGAATAACAGTTCAGAGGATTCTCTTTCAAGTGCAGTCTTAAAAGGCTTTAAGTATGTGATCTGAAAAGGAACACTAAACGCAACTTAAGTGTTAAGCTATAAATATGAACGCAGCCCCATCCTCCAGAGCTGGCCCAAGCTATGGGCTGACCAAGCTACCACCCGGGGCGCCTCATTGTAGGGGGCGCTGTGCGGGGTTGCCAGACCAGGCGGGAGCGGGGCTGCACGTCTGGGGTGCACGAATGGCTCGGGCCGGCCCTGCCATCATCTCTTCTGAGGAAAGCGCCAGTGGATGAATGGTCTCTATATCCCTGAAAGTGAATGAACTACATCTCTTTAGGTTTGCTTGGTCCTGTCTCCGCACGGCGGTGGATTTGATGAGTGCTTTAAGGTCTCTGCCAGTCCTACATTTTTGATGCATCTCTGATTCTAGTGTTGTGTGGTCCAACAGTCCCTCCCTCAAGCTTGTCTTTCCTGGAAATGACCGGGGCTTGAATTGGGTTCTGCTCCAAACTAGAGGCTGTGCCTGTTCCAGGCAATTAAGCACATTTGATTGGCTGAATTAAATTGTAAAAGGAGCATTTAGCCGGGAAGGGGACTTGACTCCAGCTAGGTTTGTTTAATTCAATGAGACAGTTACAGCTGTGGGCTCTGCTAGTTTTTGAAAGTGCGGTGCGGGGCAGCGTGTCAGTCATGCAGTGACAATTGTTTCAAAGAGTGACAAGGGTCACCCCCATCAAGCTAGGCCTGTGAACCTCCAGTGTAGTGCAGCTGGCTCAGGAGAATTCTGAGAGGAGCCTGCCTGCACCTACTTTTTGAATTCTCCCGGTGGCGTGTTTTAAATGCAGAGGTCACCCTGTGAGGAGTGGGGCTGTTGATTGTAATCAGCAGTTAAATCCTTGCTTTCTGAACACTTGGCATAATAAATACTCACTTCATTAGAGTCCAGACCCATGGCACAGGCATGGGTTCACTAACGGGAGATAAGAGCAGAAAAACGCCAGCTATGCCCCACTGCAATATATATTGGACAAACTGGACAGTCCCTGCGGGGAAGCATCAATATATATATTGGACAAACTGGACAGTCCCTGCAGGGAAGCATCAATGGACACAAATCAGCTATCTGCAAAGGGAACATACGGAAACCTGTTGGTGAACATATTCATTTGCCTGGTCTTCCATTAAGAGCTCTTCAGGTTTTGTTACAGACCAATTCCACAAGCCAAATACATAGGGAAGGGTTGGAACTACAATTCATTCACAAATTTAATTCTCATGTCAATCGGTTGAATCGAGATACCTGATGGCTGGGACATTATCAACCAACCAACCCGCCAATGGTTCTTTGTCTGTAGATTCTGGTGTTAGTACTCTTCCTCTCTAATTGCTAACTAATGGTCCTTATCTGCTTCTTTTAACTATCCAGTTTTTAGGTGCTTATAGACTATCAGTTTTGCCTGTTACATACTGCTCGGTTTTCTCTTTGATATTTATATACCCACTGCCTCCTTTGTTCCCCCCTCCCATTTTTTTCCTCCTCCTCTCCCTTCTCCCCTATTTATTTTTGTTCTGGACATACAACACTCCGGTCATCTGAAGAAGTGGGCTGTGCCCACGAAAGCTCATGATCCCATCTACATGTTTTGTTAGTCTATAAAGTGCTAGCAGACTATTTGTTGTTTTTTAAGTTTATCTTGTCCCTGTTGTTCTTGAGGACATAGGCTACATCTACACTGTAGCCTTCCTGCGGAAAAGCTTATGCAAATGAAGCTCGGCATGGAATATCGCCACGCTTCATTTGCATAATTAATGACCAGCCATTTTTGCGCAAGAAGCTTTTGCGCAAAAAAGAGAAATGTAGATGGCTCCTTTTTGCGCAAAAAACCCCCTCTTGTGCAAGAGCCGTTCCTCCTGAACAGATGAGGAAGACCGGCTCTTGTGCAAGAGGAGGTTATTGTGCAAAAAGGAGCCATTTACACTGCTCTTTTTTGCGCAAAAGCTTCTTGCGCAAAAATGGCTGGTCATTA